TACTCACAGCTGAAACAGGGAAAATGGAGATCATTTGAATCAGCCGAGGAGTCTTCCCTGGGAAGGCCACCTTGTGTGGCTGGAGGCTCTGCAGTGTTTCTTGAGTCTTGGTGAGCAGCAGGATCGCGCGGACAGGCTCTGGCTTCAGGTTTGGAGTGGGGCCAGAGGAGTTGCAGCTTTCCCGAGCTCCCAGATGACAGTGATGCTGTTGACCCAGGAACTACAATCTTGCTTAGAATCCTTCCAGTGGGCACGCAAGACTTGAGTTCTCAATCAGGGCTTACTGCTGTGAAGGCGATCACGTGAACACAAGATCAGTGGGAAATCCCACCGGTGCTTGCGCCATGCTCGGCCCAAGGAGAATTGATGGCATCAAAAATTTCAAAGCCAACCCTTGGAACACACGACTAGATTGACTAATCAGTGTGGCCTACTTACTACACAAATGCAATGCTACTTGAAGAGAATCAGCTCCGATGGGGCTTTTCTAAAGGTCTTGCTGCAGACCAGGGCATAGGTTTCATTTGGTAAAGAGTAGGAGACATTCTGTTTGTTGTTTTTGGGTGGTGGTGGTAGTGTCTAAATTCTAGTTAAATGATGGGTACAATAAAAGATCCTTTTGTCAATTATAAAATATTTATAGTTTGCTTTTCTAATCGTGAAGAAGCTAAACAGCTGTAAGACTACATAGTATTGAAAAAACAGAACCTAATGGGAAAATAATACCACCCACTAACTGCCCAGCAGTCAGTTTGGACTCATATGGCCCTATAGGACAGATTAGAACTGCGCATAGTACTTCCAGGGCTGTAGTCTCTAACAAAAGGAGACTGCCACATGTTTCTCCTGAAGAGTGCTTGGTGGATTTGAACTGACAACCTTTTGGTGAGCTGCTAAGCCAGTGCCACCAGACCACTAGTGCAGCGGTTGAATGCATGTTCAATAATGTCACAGTACCACATGATTTAAGAAGCCCTGGTGCTGCAGTGGTTATACACTGTCCTGCTAACCACAAAGTCAGCAGTTTAAGACCACTACCCGCTCCCAGGGAGAAAGACGAGGCTTCCTGCTCTGTGAGTGTAACAGCCTCAGAACCCTGCAGGGGCAGGTCTACAGTGTCCTGTGGGGTTCCTCTCAGTGGGAATTAACTCGCGGAGAGTGAGTTTGGTTTGGGTTTGGACCACTTGATTCAGACTTCCTCTTCCTTGGCCAGGATGCCTTTTGCACACTGATTACTCTGCTGATCATTAGTAAATCCAGCTGTCATTGAGTCAACCCTGACTCATGGGGACCCCGTATAAGTCAGAACAGAAACGAGCTCTATCGCGCTTTCAATGGCTATTTTCTTAGAAATTGATCTCCAGCCCTTTCTTCCAAGGGACCTTTGGGTGGAATTGAACCAAGATTTTTTCATTAGTAGCAGTGTGTTAAACTTTAACACTACCTCTCAAGTATTAAAAGAACCCTCGGTGGTGGTGTGAGCTAAGCATTAGGCTGCTAACTGAAAGGTCAGAAGTTCAAACCCACCAGCTGTCCTGAGGGAGAATGATGAGGCCATCTGCTCTCACAAAGGTTTACAGGCTCAGAAACCTGAAGGAGTAGTTCTATTCTGTCCTGTGTAGGGACAGAATCAACTCCACCGTAGTGGATTTGGGGTTTATCAAGTGTTAAAGTATATAAGATGATTCTTTGTATATATTGACATAGTATTTGGCTACTTCTCAGCCATTGATAAAATTATTAAGTACATGATTGTTGTCTTAAAAGCTAGTGAAATATCAATTAAAATTTTTCCCTTAAAATTCTTTTCCCCACATACACAAAAACCCTCTTGATTTAAGTTTTGCTGAGAATCAATTTGATTCAAAAATTACCATTTTCATAATCCATTTTGGTCCATTGATAAGCACCAAATAACTGATATTTATTTATTTTAATTGAGGCAAAGAAAATAAATATTTAAAAAATAGTTTTATTGGCACTTCATCCACATATAATACAATTCAACAGTTGAATCACATCAAGAAGAGTTCTACAATCATTACCACAATCAGTTTTAAACGTTTTTTCTTCCTTGTTCTTATTATGAGTGTAATTTTAAAAATTGTGGCAAAAATATACACTCTCCAATTCAACAACTTCTACATGTAAAATTCAGTGTCACTGCTTCTACTGGCTGTGTTGTGAAACCATTATTCACGTTAGCATACCCTTTCATAGTCAAGTCACTTTTAAGAAGCGTTGTATGTACAGCGTCACAATCAGTTCTAGGGCTCCGTGCCCTCCTGCACTTTGTTTGCTTCCCAGCTCTCCTCACCTTGACAAGCCATTGCCTCCGTGACTGTTTCTGTGCCTCTACTCCTGTGCTTCATAAGCTGGGCGGCCTAACAGAAACAATAAAAATAAAACAAACCAAAGCAGAACGAAGAAAATAATAATAATGATGACGATCATACAAAAATAAGCATAACTATAAAGGGTAAGAAAGAAAAGATCACCAACGATCTTTAAAAAGCCAGAGAAGAAATTTCTGTCATGCAACAAGTGATGGGAATATTTAAACCTGAAGCAAATTCAGGTTGGGTCAAGAGGGAGGTCTTCTGACCAGGTATCATATTATAGTCATCCACCATAGATCCATCCATCATAGTCAAGTTTACAATGATCTCTGCCTGATAGTAAACTTGTCTGAATCCCTCGCCTGTGGCTAGCGGGGATCTGCCGGAGGCTTAATCTGACTAGATACTCTGCAGATGGATTTGGGGCTCCCACTTTCCCCACAGTCTTATATAAAATGGTGTTCACAATTTGACCTTACACTTTCCCCTTCATCATATCTGGATTTTTTTATCGCCATCTTTGGATCACATAGGTTGGTGCTTCTTCCATGTGGACTTAATTTATGCTTCATTTAGATGGCTGATTGTTTAAATACAAATACTTAAGACTCCAGATACTAATCTAATGGATAGCCAGGCACCATCTGCTTTCTTCAGCACACTTTGCTGTAGGTCCCTTAGCTTCAGTGATTTCTTCATGAAGGTGCGTATCGAGTAGGGTCATGTTATAAGAACTCGCTGTTCTTGGATTGGGGTTAAAATGAAGTGGGAGCCCAGAATCTACCTGGTTGTCGCTGTGTTTTGAATGACTCTGGTTTACTTTAGCAGTCATGTTATCATTTCAAGACAAAACAAACAAAAACACAAAACAACAAACAGAAACAAACCAGAAACAAAACAAAAAAGAAAAGCATCATTAATTATCCCCCCCTGAGTTATAAAGCGATTTCATTGATAACATCAATAATTTATCCAATGGCATAGAATTTAAGGTGCTCTGAATAATGAGGATTTTATGGGAGTATAGTCCAATTTTGAGTTGGGATCTATGAATTGTTGTTTTGTACAGATTGATTTCTTAGTTGATTGAGCTCTGTTTACCTTGAGCCTGGCATGTGGTGCTAGGGTGAAATTTCCTATAACATTTCTTACAAGGGCAGAATAATATCTGTCATATTAATGCAAGGGGAGTATTGAAGAACACACTATTTGGTGGTTCTGGATGCCCACTAAGCCAGGGGTCCCATGCAAGGTCCTTTGGCCTCAGGTACAGTAGTTTTAAGGTAGCACCCAGTTTGTTCAGTCCCGCTTCTGATGTGGTCCTCGGGGTATGCTGTGTTCTCTATAAGGCCAATGTCTAAGCCGTCATAGTGCTTAATCCATGGCGTGGTTCACTGTGGTTGGGTAGAAACATATTCAGAGTGTCTACCCAGGAACATAGAACCAGGTTTATGCTCCCCTTTGATTCCCTGCAATTATTGTTCGGCACCCACATGGCAATCCAGGAGCATTGCCAGTGTTCCACAAACTCACAGTTTTAATATTCAGCAACATCCCATTGTGGAGCATTTTCAAAAGCTGCTGCATGTGGATGGTGGGGCCCAGCACAACTAATGTGAAAAAGCATAGTTCTGCTTATAATCAAGCCAGGTCAATAGCTGATCAACCCATTTATGACCTCTTCTTCTTCTTTTTTTTTAAACATCATCTACTTATTTGCATAGCACCTACGGTGGTGCAGTGGTTATGTGTTGGGCTCTTAACTGCAAGGTCAGCAGTTCGAAACCACCAGCAACTCCTTGGAAGAAAGATGGGGCTTTCTATTCCCATAAAGAGTTACAGCCTACGAAATTCACAGGGACAATTCTAAACCTGTCCTCCAGGATCGTTATGAGTTGGCATCAATTTGATGGTGGTTAGTTTTTGTTCTTGTTTTTTTTTTTTTATATATAGCTTGTTTTTAGCTTGGCCTGTAAACTCTGATTTTAAAAAATTCAGCTCATTCCAATAAATCTTTTTTGAGCTCTGTAATTATTTACATTTTAGAGACAATTAATTTCTAAACCTTGCTTTTAAGGAGTGAAGGGGAAAAGTTCAAGACACCTGTTCCTCTCATTTTCAAAATTATCTGGAAATAAGGTTCTTGGCAACCTATGGGGGAAGAATATGTAGCATAGACAACAGGGGCCTCCAGTTTGTCGCCCCATCTTATTCTTCCAGGTATTGGATGTCTGGAGAGCTTAAGGTGGAGGGAAAGGTTGATGAAACGTAGTTCACTGATTTTGAAAGTCTGTATGAGGAGGCCTGGTGATACAGGGGTTATGCGTTGGGCTGTGAAGAGTATGGTGGGACGTTCGAAGCCACCAGCAGCTCCTCGGGAGAAAGCCTGGACTTTCTACTCCCATAAACAGTTACAGTCTCGGAAATCCACAGAGGGTCAGTATGAGTCATCATTGAGCCGATGGCAGAGAGAGAGAGAGAGAGAGAGAGAGAGAGAGAGAGAGAGAGAGAGTTTACTTAATAGCGCTTTTATCAAATCAGTAAATCTAAGTAAAGTAAAAATAAGGACTCCTGTTTCCGATGAAGATATATTTAGATCCAAGACCTAACTGAAATATTTAAAAAGTTAACATTGTAAGTCTTCTCTTTCTTTTTCAGTTTTTAAGGACAAACAAGAACAAAATGAACACTATACTATTTTGGTTGATACTTTCCACTCCTGCCTGGACCCTCACTGATGGATCTGAGAAGGACCAGGATTTCACGTGGCACTTGAGAAAAATGCCCAGGGTGGTCAGTGAGAGGACTTTGCATCTCGCCAGCCCATCCTTTGCGGCAGATGCTAAGATGGAGTTGCACAGTGTGTGTGGCATTGAATGCCAGAAAGAACTCCCAGCTCCCAGCCTTTCTGAACTAGAGGCTTCCCTTTCCTATGAGACTGTCTTTGAGAATGGCACTCGGACCTTGACCACAGTGAAAGTTCAGGATTTGGTCCTTGAGTCGGCTCACAATTCCACCACCAAAGGAGCCCCTACGCGGAGCAAGAGACAGGTGTTTGGCACAGACAGCAGGTTCAGTATCTTGGACAAAAGATTCGTAACTAATTTCCCTTTCAGCACGGCTGTGAAGCTCTCCACGGGCTGTAGTGGCATTCTGGTCTCCCCTAAGCATGTCCTCACCGCGGCCCACTGCGTTCACGATGGAAGAGACTACATCAGAGGGAGCAGAAAGCTCAGGGTGGGGCTGCTGAAGATGAGAAACAAAGGGGGCCGCAAGAGACGTGGGGGGTCAAAGAGGAGCAGGAGAGAAGGCCCCCGCGACGACCACAAAGAGAACTCAGGGGAGAGAGCCCAGGGTGGCAGGAGGAGACAAGGTCGTGGCCAAGGTCAGAGAGCCCCCGGGGGCAGGCCCTCCTTCCAGTGGACCCGGGTCAAGAACACCCACCTTCCCCGAGGCTGGACCCGTGGGGCGCGGGGGGCCGCCGCCTTGGACTATGACTACGCTCTCCTCGAGCTGAAACGGGCCCACAAAAAGACGCACATGGAACTAGGGATCAGTCCGAGCATCAGGAAGATGCCGGGTGGGATGATCCACTTCTCAGGATTTGATAACGACCGAGAAGATCAGTTGGTCTATCGGTTCTGCAGCGTGTCGGACGAGTCAGCCGAGCTCTTCTATCAATATTGCGATGCGGAGCTGGGCTCCACCGGCTCTGGGGTCTACCTGCGTCTGAAGGAGGCGGCGGACAAGAAGACTTGGACGCGCAAAGTCATTGCGGTCTACTCGGGCCACCAGTGGGCGGACGTCCACGGGGCTCAGAAGGATTACAACGTGGCCGTGCGCATCACGCCTCTCAAGTACGCTCAGATTTGCTTCTGGATTCATGGGAACGACGCCAATTGCACTTATGGCTAGCAGGGAGACGCGAAACAGGGCCACGCGCCGTGGAAGGCCCACCGAAATTCCTTTCTGATGGTCATAGCCACATCACCTCCTATGGCCTTAGGAGGTTAGGCTTGACCTTGAACCCATCAAAAGTATTTCAACATTTTTTTTTTTTTTTTACAAATCTATCCTTTCAAAATTCATAGATTTTCACACCGTTAAAAATTTGGCAACTATTCTCAGACTCAATAGGTACATCAATGGCAAGTATACACTTTTGTTTACATAGTGCTAAGTGTGCTTTGGGGAAAAGTTTTTGCTTCTTTTACTTGGTAACAATTTAGGTGCTCTGTATCCCTTCAGACTCGTACTATAGCTAGGTCATGATTTCTCAATGGACTCAGAGCTCTCAGAAGAGGCGACTCGGATGCAGGTGGCACTCTCTCTGTGAAACTGCATTCCGGACGGAGGCGGCAGCGGAATGCGCCTCAAGCCAGAGCTCGGCATCGACACGTTTCTTCTGAGATGCTCCATTCACTTCATGCCCTCGGTGTTTATGTTGTGCTTTTTGTTGGGCCCGAGGAGGTTCTTTTATTTTTTATTATTATTATTACTTTTTTTTTCTTTTGGAAGAAATGATCAATCTGAAAGAACAACTCATTTTTAAAAACCAAACATTTCACTGCTCAAAAACATGTAGCAACTGAGGCGTGCACTCTTTCCAGATGGCGAGAAATATTTTGTTCTATGAGTTAAACCTTGTTTGAGTAAAGGGGAGGTTACTATTTTAAGACCTCAAGTTTTTATCTCACTAATATTCAAAACTAGGAATTATCATGCATGCATGATGAGGAAGTTCAAAAGTTACAGATGATCCTGTATTGAAAACCACATCATTGTGTTACATGGCACAGTAAGTGTGAGGCTCTATTTTTTTTCCCTCAGCACAAGGAATCAGTGGAGATCTCTTGTTTTATTGTTCAGAAGAGATCTCTTGTTTTGTTTTTTCGCTGGACAAGCTTTAGAGTTCTTAAAGAGCTACAGGTGTGTTATTTTGACGAATTCAATAATTAGCAGCTTTAGAGTTGCCTTTTCCCAAAAGAGGAATATAATTTAGCAATGTGATTTTTAAGAGAAGGTTCCTATCATTCTCATTGGGGACTAAGGCTACTTACTCAAGCTGGGGGGGTTCTAGTATAGTGGATGCCCTGGGGCAAGCAGCACACATATCCTGGATGCACAATTGGCTGCAAAGGGGGATTTGTTTGTGGATTTACACTCCAAGTGTTGAGTGATTTGTGATGAAGTCAGGAATTCTGCTCTGCTCTTCTGGAAAGTTTCTATGGTACTCATCCTCTCTTCTACTGGGACTCATCAAGCCACTGATTTTTTAAAGTTCAAATTGATTTTAATTATGCTTTTATAAAGAATGCAGAGTTATTCTCTTGAATGTTTTATTAGATTATAATAAACATAATTTTGTGACTGGTGTTTGAAATAACAGAACTTCAAGACAAGTACACATTCTTCTAAAATGTGAGTCTGTTTTAAATGATTCAATAAAATTTTAAAAAGAGAAATTAGTTATATAATTCTTACTGTATCTCTGTGTTACAGGGTTTTCCATTTAGTGCTCAGAAAATACTAAATGAGCTATGTCATTTCTTTAAAAAAAATCCATAAGGGGCTTCAAAAAGTTTGTGGGAAAATTCCATGATCCCCCCCACAAAATAATTTTATTAGGACATAATCCAGACATTTGATCATTCAATTGTTCAGTCATATCAATTAGTATTGTACAAATGCTACCACAATCGTTTTCTAAACATTTTCTTCTGTCTTGTACTCCTGAATATCGGCTCCTCACTGGCCCCTCCCTCCCCTGCTGTACCCCAAGTTATAAGCTTTGCTTGGCCGCGAACTCCCATTGTTTGTGTAAATCGTGCCCAGGCATGTAAGGACTTCCTTTATGTGCAAGTCAATAGCCCACACGTTATGGTTTGTGGTTAGGTTACACGTGTTTAATCTCCATTATCTTTTAACTCCATTCTCCCCACGTGCTTTCTGAAGCCCCTTTGAGTATTTTATCATTGTGGCAAGTGTTTTGGTTAATTTTTAGTGCGAGGCTCTGTGAAAAAACGTTGTAGTCACTATAACTCCAATTTTTTTCAAGGTGAATTGAATGCAACACACACACACACACACACTAGTGGATCTGTCTTCATCTTAGATACTTAGAATATAATTCTTGGAATTTAAGCAAATTCAGAGTCAGTTAGGGTGCTTAGTGTCAATTGTGTGTTACATGCAGTTAACGACGGAATGTACACCGCTCTCTTGAAAGCATCGTGCAACGTGCATTCCAAACGTCTGTATTAGCAGAGCTGACTTAGGTCTCATCTAGTCCCATGACCGAGAATTCATTACCTATTTACGACCACTCTGCCCACTCAGATATAGTAAATTAAATTCAGAATGTTGACTTTTACATCTTTTTTTCCTGTTGTCCTTATCATATTTCAAGTACAAAATTAAATTCACTTACATATATACACACATCTGGTGTTGCTTGTGTGCAAAGGGCTGTACTGACTTTTGGAAAACTTAATGGTTGAATTCAAAACAGCTAAAATTTAAAATGATGTCCTTTCCCCCCTTTTCAACATCTTTTATTGATTTTTCTCTCTCAAATGCTAAGTGTGTGAGCAGAAGAGCCTTCCAGTGGATTTCCGTTTTTGATGTGCCTTTGAATTAAATCTCAGTGGCTCACTTTCAAAAGGATGAAAGGGCTCAAGTATAAAGAAAATGTTTTGGAAAGGATGAGGCAACATATGTACAAATGTGGTTGACACAATGGATGGATGGATGGATTGTGATAAGAGCTGTACGAAGCCCCAATAAAATGATTTTTTAAAATGGAATAAAATAAAAGGATGGAAATATTTATGGCCAATATTAGGATTCTGAAAAATTGTAGACCAAAGAATTCTTTGAGATCAGGTTTGCTGATCAATAGAGATGGAGAGAGCCCCAGACAGAGATTCATGGAACCCCTGGGATGATGGTCCTTCAGCCATTCTTTAGGTCTGGAGCTGAACTCACCCCCATGGGTCAGTTTTCAGCCAAACAGTAATCAGGCCCATAAGGGGAACAGTCACACTAGGGAGGTATACACATCTGAGAATAATCAACCATTTGAGGTCCACATGGCATCATTTGTTCAAGCACAAATTTCAGAAGGGTGAGGAAAGAGGTGGAACGGAAACTGAGAGGAAATGGGATAAGTGATTCTACATTGTAGGGATTGAAATCAATGATATGAAACAAATGTGCATAAATAGGCAAATGGGAAATTGATTTGATCTGTAAAGCTTGATCCAATTTCCAATAAAAAGTAACAAAAAAAGATGTAGCTCTTTGGGGAGCGGGGAGGATAAAAATTTCTTATTTTGATTTTATAGGGAAAAATATCTCAGGATTATAAAACACCATAAAGATCATGTTGTTTAACCCTAGATTTTATTTATTAACCCTATATTTTAGGTGTTAGTCCTCCTCCATAGTATTCCCTTAAATTGGTTGTTCAGTGTTAAGGAAACAACTTTTCATCACATAAATATTATTGATTACTAAAATTAATTCAGGAATATAATGTATTGTTTTAGTTATAGCTACATTAGTAATTCAGCTCCCTAATTCTATAAAAATTGCATTGTGCTTATCTTGGATATTATCTCAATGTTAATCATATCAATTACTCATAACTTTTGGCCTTACCCTAGTAAATCAGGCTTTTACTCTCATCAAAACTAAATTGTGACCGTTAGTTAGAAATGCTAGGATAAGACAATCGAACCAAGTCCCCGGACATTTTAAGAAGGTAGATTTTTAGCTGTAAATTATTGTTTTTTTCCCATAACAATGAAATATGTTTTGGCAAGTATCTGCCATCAATCCTACTTTAATTGACAATGAGCAAAACCCATCTCTAGTTAATTAACAGAATGGTTTTAAAAATAAATATTGTTTTTTCCAGATAGGTCATTACTCTCAATAGCAACAAAGTATAGAGAGATACTGTACCTTATAAGAGAGATAACAGAACTGTATGGGAAGGGAAGAGATATATTGGAATGAATAAGATGTCAAAATAAAAACATTATTCAGAAAAAAAGAGAGATACCATATCTTAATATAAGAGAGATACTGTACCTCATAAGGTACAGAGAGATATTGATCAAAGGTAAAATCATGTTTTCACAGGATGGGGTGAGTTTATAGGCAGATAGAGTCACAATTCTTCTGTGATTCTCTCCTAATTAAGGGACAGAAACACTCTCATATGGTTTTCTTTCCTCTTTAGGAGCCCTAGTGGCTTCAGGGTTATGAATTGGGTTGCAGGTCCACAGTTGGAAACCATGCTTTGGGAGCGAGACGGCCCTTTCTACTTCCAAAGAGTTACAATCAGGAATCCACAGGCGCAGGGCTGCTTGGTTTCAGAGGGTCGCCGCCCTGAGTTGAAATCAACGTGATGGCAGTGGGTTTTTTAAAAGAAAGTCTGGAGAGGGATCCCCCCCTGTCAGGTCTACCCCTTCCTGTATTTAAAAACTGGCAGGTTTGAGCGCAGTGTTGTCCCAGTGTTTGCCAGTCTGACCCACGGAAAGATGGCTGTTCCAACCCAAAAGTCTCACTGTGGGCAAAGCCAAGGAGCTGGCAAACCTCCCGTTTTGTAGGGATGGCAGCTTCGGCAAATCTCCTTTGCACTTTCATTATCTTCTTAAGTGCTAGTACCTGGCACATAGGGAGCCATCGATATGTTTTGTTAAGTGTCACACATGTTCATTGAGGCTTACGTCTTGCAGGGCATCACTTACTCTTCTCTATGTGCTAAGGATCTAAAATGCCCTGTTGTTGCTGGCTCCCATAGAATCAGTTGGGAAACACGTGCTGTGACTCCATGCACCGTGGGACCGACCGAAGTGATCTATCGGATTTTCATTGGCTGGTGTTTTGAGAAGTAGATTGCCAAGCCTTTCCCCCCAGTGTATCTTGGTCTGCAAGCTGGACCAGTGCCTGTGCAGGAGTACCACAGCGACCTACCACCTCCACTGACAGGTGGGTGGTGACTGCGCCTTAGGAGTGTTGTTTGGGTCTCAATACTAAGGTCTCCTTCGCAGAAAGCCGGACTTATAGCACTGACTCACCATTGCCCTCATTTGTCTAAGTTGGACATTCTATCAAAGACACAGCTACACTTTTAATAATGGTCATGTCTACTTAAAGTGAGAATTTCAATGTCAGGCCACTCTAGCATGCAATTTAAGGGATTGGATTGTTTGACACATTTCCTACTGACTCCTCTGTGCATCTGCTAACTGTGTGGCTTCAGACTGACAGGGCCAGGATCCCGCCGTTACTTGCATCCTCTCATCTGTCATGCAACTATTCAGGCAGGTCACCTCTGCCTCAGAAACTGTCTTCACGGTCTTTTGCTTTGGCAATATTCAAACATTTCCAGTAGCACCTTAAAATCCCCTCCCTTTCTTCAAGCACCAGCCCACATAAACTATCTACTTCAATCCCCATTGCAGTGTGACCACGTGGCCATGCCCTGCCTCCCACTGTAGTTTTACCAAGGCAGGATGATCATAATTCCATCTCCATCAGTGAATGTTTTACCAGGAATCAAATTTGCTTCGATGATACTGAAATCCCCTGTGTATGTACTTACTCATATGATGAAAGACATGTGCCCTTTCACACATGTGCCATAGATCACTTGCAGAGTGACCCCACACGACAGAGCAGAACTGCTGTCCCGGTGGGGTTCTTGGACTGTAAACCATGTTTAACAGTTGTAGTGTCATATACTTCACACATTTACAATTTATCATGCAACCACATTAAGAGTTGTGGAATCATCACCACAATCAATTTCAGAATATTTTCTTCCTTACTCATTGTTGCTAGTGCCCCATTTCTCCCTAAACCTCCCCTGCCATGTCCCTAGGCAATTATTTCATTTTTATTTTTTTCCAATTCGATAACTTCAGTGTCACTGCTTATACTCTTCATTTTGGACAGCTAATTGATATCCTTTCCCAAATTATTCTACCACCGTTAACATACACTCGGTGGGCCCTGCAGGGCAACCCTTTCCCCTTCACCTATGGTAACCATTGATCAAGATTGGTCTCTTTTTTCCTTTTTTTTTTTTAGGTTTTATTGATAATAGTATTCATATACCACATACATCCATGGCTAAATCACTTTTAAAATGAGTTGTGTAATCACAATCAGTTCTAGTGGTCTCTCCCCACTCCCACATTCATTGTTTGTTCCCCAAATCCCCTCATCCTCCCTATCTCCCAGCCCCACCACTACATCCCCTATAACCCTGGCATCAGCTATTATCGCTGTGCATCCACTCCTCTGTGCTTCCCAAACTGGGAAACCCAACAGAAACAATTAAAAAAATAAAGTGGTAAGGATAAAATAATAATATAAATATAAAAATACAAATAATGAGTAAGAAAGAAAAGACCAACATCAATATTTTAAAAGCAGGGAAGAAATTTTTGTC